AATAGGTTTTTAAATACTTTTCTTTTAATTTAATTTTACCTTTATTCTTAAAAACTACTAATAACTTTACCACAACCTGTATCTCAAAAAACAAAATTAGAGAAAAAAATAAGTTAAAAATTTAAGCAAAGGTAGAAATTGAATTTGAAAAATGATATAATAAGGTGAGTAGAATGTTATACTATTACCGTTAATAATAAGGAAAGGTTAAAATTTTATTTATATGAAAGAAAATAATTTTAGAGACTTAGAGATGATTGTCATTGGGGGAGGACATGCGGGCATTGAGGCGGCTTTAATTAGTGCTAGACTAGGACACCGGGTGGCTTTAATCACACTCAGTAAAAATAAAATTGGTCTGATGCCCTGCAACCCCTCAGTAGGAGGACCTGCCAAAGGAATAGTGGTGCGAGAAATTGATGCTTTGGGAGGAGAAATGGGAAAAGCCGCGGATGCCACCGCGCTCCAATTTAAGTTGTTAAATACTTCAAATGGATTAGCAGTGCAAGCCCTTCGAGTTCAATCTGACAAGGTGGCTTATGCTCATTATATGCAAAAAGTAGTCAGTGAACAAAAAAATTTGACGGTGGTTGAAGGGGCGGTTAAAAACTTGTTAATTACAAAAGGAAAAGCAAGCGGAGTGGAATTGAACAACGGTGAATTTTTTTTCGCCAAAATAATAATTCTAACTACCGGCACTTACCTTCGACCAATTATTTACCAGGGTCAAGCCAGTAAGATTGAAGGACCGGCGGGCGAAAAAGAAGTAGTCAATAATATTTCTCAGCAGTTAAAGGAGTTGGGTTTTAGGTTAAACCGCTTCAAGACTGGCACTAGTCCCCGAATTTTGAAAGATAGTATTGACTATAGCCAATTCAAATTAGAACCAGGTACTAATTTACCTTTGCGCTTTTCCTCCCAAACTGATTATTCTCAATTACTGACTTTTTCCCAGCAACTGCCTTGTTATCTACTTCATACTAATGAGAAAACCCACCAAATTATTCAAGCAAACCTCCACCTATCTCCAATTTTTAGCGGAGAAAGCATTGGCACTGGACCCCGTCGTTGTCCTAGCATTGAACATAAAATTCATTACTTTGCCGATAAGAAAACCCACCAAATTTTTGTGGAACCGCAATCCCAAATAGAAGGCACCAAGGAAGAAAAAACGGTTTACCTCCAAGGGCTTTCTACTTCTCTACCAGTCGAAGTTCAAACAAAGATGTTATCGACCCTCCCCGGATTCGAAAAAGCCCAAGTCCAAGAATGAGGCAAAGCCATTGGATACGATAAAATAGATGCCACCCAACTAAAAAATAGTCTAGAAACCAAACTAGTTATCAACTTATTTGTGGCTGGACAAATTAACGGCACTACTGGGTATGAGGAAGCTGCCGCCCAAGGACTAATGGCGGGAATTAATGCGAGCCGGAAATTAAAAAAGCGAAAACCATTAGTTTTAAAAAGAAGTGAAGCTTACATTGGCGTAATGATTGATGATTTAACCACCAAGGAAATTACCGATCCTTACCGACTTTTAACTTCTTTGGCCGAACACCGTTTATTATTAAGACATGATAATGTTTATACTCGTCTTTGGCCGATTACTCGCCGTCAACTAGGGTTATTAAGCAACGCGCAATGAGAGGCTTTGCAGAAAAAGAAAAAAGTTCAAAAAAAAATCAGCCAAGCACTGCAAAAATTAACTTTTAAGATTGACCACCATTTGACCCATCAATTTCTCAATTTAGACACTAGCCAATGAAAAAATATCAATAAAATAAATGGTTACGATTTACTAAAAAATAATAAAGTTTCATTAAAGGAATTTCAAGTCTGAATACCGAAAATAAAAAACTTAAATTGAGAAGAACAACGAGAATTAGAAGCCAATATTAAATACCAAAACCAACTTGAAACTCAATTGAAAGAAGTAGAAAAATTAAATAAATACGAAGTTAAAAAAATCCCAGTGGGGGTTGACTATGCAAAGATTGATAACTTAACCAAAGAAGCTCAAGAAAAATTAACTAAAATTAAGCCAATTTCACTGGGGCAAGCTAGACGAATAGGGGGAATTAGTCCAACTGATATTCAAGTTTTAAACTATTATTTAAATAAAAAATATCTGCCAAAGGGGTTAAACAATACCTAGAATAGACACTTTACAAAATTGTGAAAACTAGGTGCCTTCGAAAATTAATTTCTAAGAAAAGCAACAGAGGATTAGATTTTTCTTAAAACTTCAAAGGCAATTCGTTTTTTTGTTAGTTTATTTTACTTTCGAGTTTTTTATTTAAAGGTTATTTTTATTTTATTCCAAGCAATATTATTTAATGGTGCCCAAAGTGGGACTCGAACCCACATGAGCTTATGCTCAGATGTTTTTGAGACATCCGTGTCTACCATTCCATCCATTTGGGCTAATAATTCAATTTATCCTTTGGTAATTTATTCAATAACCCGAATTTTGAAAATGCGGCATACTTCTTGCCTTTTTCAATAGCGAAAACTCAAAATGCTTAATTTATTGCTTTCACAAATTAATATTATTATTTTGGTAGCGGGGCTAGGAGTCGAACCTAGGACTTCGGATTATGAGCCCGAAATGATAACCGCTTCAAACACCCCGCGATATTAATATATTTTAAACCTTATTTTGATTAACTCCTCTCTTTTTTTTCCTAATTAACACTATTAGATAACAAATTATAACCACTATTCCAATTACTCCACCACTAATAATTAATTTTTGAGCGGTATTCCATTCACTACTAGTTTTATTTGGCGGTTTTTTGGCCTTTTGGTCGAAACACTTTTCCAGAAACTCCGTTATATCCTCGTTTTTCCAAATGTGTCCTAAACCTGGATGAGTCTTAAATTCGACATTATAACCTCTTTCTTTTAAAAGATCGTAAGACTTTTTACCGGTTCAAAAAGGCACTCAGGGGTCTCCGGAATTGTTAACGAATAGAATAGGAGTTTCTTTATTTTTATCAGAGGGTCGGATCAGTAATTTATCTCAACGAGGCAAAAGTCCACAGAGAGAAATAAAACCACCTAATTGGTGCGGCGAAGTCAAAGCCACGGCCAAAGTTAATAAACCACCTTGGGAATAACCCGCTACGAAAATCTTTTCTGGCGAAATGCCATTTGCGATTTCTCCCTCAATAATATCGTTAACATAGCTAGTGGCTCGCCTTAATTGCGGATAGTCTAAGTGAATTATTTTATCGGCTTCCTCAAAGTTTTTTTTGGGTGGGGGATTATTGGGGCAAACATCCTTATCCATTAACTCGTGAGCATCACCAGTAATATTTATTCAACCTTGACATTGCCCACCCGGAGCCTTAGCGGCACCATGCCACATATCATATTGTAAAGTTGGTGAATAAGGATAAATAATTTTAGTATGGGGGAGTTTTGGTTCCATTTCTTTAAAAATTCCTCTGTGTCCATAAGTGCCGTGGAGAAAAATAACTACCGAGTTGTATTTATTATTTCCTGTCTTGCTGGTGTTTCCTACCTCACCAGCCCAGTCAATTAAAATAGCATCTGTATTATTAAATGTTCCTTTCATTGGAACATAATTTTCCTCTATTGATTTCCAATTGGCCACACGTAATTCGTTATATTCTTTATCAAGGTGAAAAGAAGGATAAATAATTTGTCCAGTTTCTTCATTAGCGAGTATGTATCATTTTTGTAAACCTCAATCAACATTCTTGTCAAGTATTTCCCGTCATTTCTGCTTACTACTTTTAATTTTATTAAAAATTGCTTCGGTTGCTGCTTGAAAATCTGACCCTTCCAACTTAACTATTTCAACTTTATCTTTATTTTCCTCTTTGTAAAGCCAATCATGAAGTTTATCATAGTCGAAATTAACCTCTTCTAAAACTTTATCGTATCTTTCTTTGGCAATTTGTTCAGTGGTTTTCCCCCCAAAACGAACTACACCTTTATAAGGTACTTTTAAATGTTCGCGAATGGTTTCTAATTTTTGGTCAACTGCTATTTGACTATCTTTAATTCGGACAAAATCACCCTTTCTGGTGATAATTCATTCTTCCGGACTATTTATTATTCTTTGTTTTGTCATTACTTACTTTTTTAAAACAACGGTATTACAAATTCACCGAGCATATAAAGCAATTTTACTTTGTTAAAATCTTCCTTATACCACTTTCCTTACATGAATAAAAAAAATGAAATTCCAGAAAAAAGAATGAAAGAATTAACTACTTTGCTAGATAGATGAAATTATGAATATTATATCCTTAATCAACCCAGTGTCGAAGATGCAGTTTATGATAAACATTTGCAAGAATTAAAGGAATTAGAGACTCAATATAATTTTATCATTCCTAGTTCTCCCACCCAAAAAGCGGGTCATTCCGCTAGTAACAAATTTCATCCTCTGGTTCGGCAAAATCCCATGCTTAGTTTGGACAGTGTGGATAATTATGAAGACTTATTAAAGTTTGATGAAAGAGTGAAAAAACTACTAAAAATGGATGAAGAAATAGAATATATTAGCGAATGAAAAATTGATGGTTTATCAATTAGTCTGGTTTATCAAAATCACCAACTAATTCAAATCAGCACTCGTGGCAATGGAACGATTGGTGAAGATATAACTTTCAATAAACAACTAATAAAAAACATTCCTTTTTTCTTGAAAGAAATTGCTGATGGTGAGGTGCGAGGAGAGGTTTATATGCAAAAGGAGGAATTTTATCGTCTGAACGAAGAATTAAAAAAATCTGGTAATAAATTGCTAGCTAACCCCCGCAATGCAGCTGCGGGTAGTTTACGAACCCTTATCCCCTTGCAAGGTAGAAATTTACATTTTTTTGCTTACCAATTATTAAATAATGACTTGCCAAATCAATTATCTTGTCTACAAAAATTAGAAAAATTAGGTTTTTCAGTCAGTCCTGATTATCGGTTATTCAGAAATATTGAAAAAGTAGCCAATTTTATCCAAGAGCAAGAAAAAAAGCGGGAAAAATTAGGTTTTGAAAGTGATGGCATTGTAGTCAAGGTAAATAATTATGCTTTTTATGAAAAATTAGGACAAACTAGTCGCTTTCCTCGATGATCTATAGCTTACAAATTTCCGGCTTCGGTGACTTCAAGTCTAGTGAAAAATATTTATGTGGAGGTAAGCCGAAGTGGACGAATAACTTATGTGGCAGAAATAATCCCTGTAATATTACAAGGAAGCAAAATAACTAAAACCACACTTCATAACTATGCCTTTATTCATAATTTAAAGTTAAACATCGATGATGAAGTAGTAATCAAAAAAGCGGGAGATGTCATTCCCCAAATAACCCAAGTAATTAAACTAAATAACAATGACAGTTGACAACCTCCAGTTAATTGCCCTTCTTGTAATTCAGAGTTGGTTTGAAATCAAACTAAGATTTACCAGTTGTGCAAAAACCATGACTGTCCGCAAAAGACGGTCAATTATCTGGCTCATTTTGCTTCTAAAAATGGACTTGATATCAAAGGCATTAGTCAAAAAAATATTCAAAAACTTTATGAGAAAAATTTATTAAGTCGAATTACCGATTTTTACCAACTTCACCAAAAGGAGCAAGAACTGCTAAAATTAGAAGGCTTGGAAAAGAAATCAGTTAACAACATGCTAACTTCGATAGAAAATTCAAAAAAAAAGCCTTTCGCCAATTTATTAACCGCTTTGGGAATTCCTCTACTCAGTTCAGTAAAAACTAAAAAAATAACTAAATTTTATCCAGATTTGACTAGTTTTACCGGAGCCTTAGAAAATAATGAATGAGAAAAATTTAGGGAAATTTTAGGAGAAGAAACCCAAAAGGAGTTAAAGAATTATTTTCAAAAATCAGAAAACCTGGAATTACTAAGAGAATTGAATGAAATTTTTGGTGAAAAGGAAAATTAGGAAAAACTTTTGCTAATAATTTAATTTTTTAAATCCTAAATATTAGAGGGGGTGTCAAACTTCCTATGTTTTTTTTATTTGCCCACTTTTAAACTTCCTTAATTTTTCACATATTCAGTCCTTAAAGTAATCATTATTTCCATTTTCTACTTCTAAAACCCTACCAACTCGGTCTCTATTTACTTCAAAATAACTTCCATAATTAACTTTATACCTTACGATTCCTCTCATATATGTTTCCTCCTGCCATTCAATTTTTAAATAAGCGGGTAAGAATTAGCAATATTTTCTAATTGATAGAGCATTAGCCTTAAACATAATTGACATTCGGGGTTATCATTTTGAGGATAAATGCTTATTTTGGCTGATTGATAAGAAATTTGACAATCTGTTTGGTAGTTTTTTTGGAGAAAATTAACGGTGCCATTAGTGATAGCAGAAATAGCTGCACAGACAATATCCTGTCCTTTTTTAGCAAAGTTAGCATGGTCTTTAATGGTAATATACTTGAAATTACCTCGCCTATCTTTTTTATAGAGAATGTGGGTTGGCATATTTTATTTTTTTTCTAAGCGAAGTTAAACCATGAAGTTTCTATGAATACCAACTACCCATCTAAAAAAATAATTTCCTTTCTTAACCTTTCTATTTCGACCGCTTAGTTTTATTGGGTTTGGTTAACCTAATGAATAGTCCCGCAATAATAAAACTTTTGAAGATTAGTAAAATAATCAATCATCAACATCAGTAGTTTAAATGTTTGTTTTTAACCTGTAGTATCCGGTTAGTTTGGAATTGCTCTCCAAAGGAGGCTTGGATAAGTTTTTTTTCAATCTGAACTATTTCTTGGTAATTCTGAGCGGAAAGAATGTTTTTTTGGACTTCCTGAGGGATAGTGGATAATATTTCTTTTAAAAAGCATAAACTGGTTTGCTGAATATTTTCTAAATCTACTCCTCGCTTAATAATGGGAGAAACTGGCTGGCTGTTTGTGACTCCTCGAAACGGTTTTCTTAACAATTGGTTTAAGTGGTTAACCATTTGGTTCGAAGTTGGTTCTTTTAGCCCCAGTCCTAAATGAGTATTTAACTCTTCAATTACCGCTTGCTCCAATTGGCGATGGTAAGTTTCCGAACAAGTGGGAGGACAAACATGGGGTTCGGGTAAATGAGGGAGGGAGCAAGGCGGACAAGGATGAGTAGGGGGGTTAAGATAGAAATTAATTAAAGTAGTTAAGTCAGTGGGCGGAAGGGGTAAATTATTTAAGTCAGTTATTTTTAAGATATTAGTAAGGTAGTTTTCGTAAGTGTCAAAATTAGTATGAGTAGTTTCATGGCAACCTCGGCAAGTATGGGAAGGGGCGGAACAAAC